TGCTAGAGGCTGGAGATGTCTTCCAGGAGGAAATGAAAGCAAAGCTGACAAAGGAATACTTTCAAAGGATATGATCGATTCTCAAGTCGAAGTTGAACGGAGGCAATGTTGTGGTAGCTATTAATGACAGAACTGTATCTCTCTTGAGGTGGAAGCTATCGACAGGAGGACAGGAAAGTTGTTCACAAATTATGGCGCTCTAAACCCTCGAGCAGATACAAGTAGAATATACTTGCCGAGGAAGGAAGGTGGACGTGAGCTGATTAGTGCAGCAGATTGTGTCACCATCGAACAGTTGAGTTTCAATCGATATGTTCAGACAGACAGAAGGTGTGACAAGTAATCTCTCTTGGACGTGGTTGAAGAAGGGGGAATTCAAGAAGGAGACAGAAGGATTGTTAACAGCAGCCCAGGACCAGCGCTGCAAACCAATGCAATAAAGGCAAAGATTGACAAGCCGGCTGTCAGCTCAAAATACAGGTTGTGCAAGAGTACGGAAGAATCAGTAAGCCACATAGTTTGTGAATGCTCAGTGTTGGCCCCGAGAGAACATAAAGGTAGACACGATGGGGTTACAAAAGCTGTCCATTGGTGCCTGTGCAGAAAGTACGGATTGGAAGTTGCAGGCAAGTGGTATGAGCATGTCTCTGGAAAAGTTCTAGAGTCCGAGATAGTGCAAATCCTTCGGGATTGTAGTGTACAGACTGATCATCAGCTTGAACACAATAGGCCTGCCCTAGTTGTAGTAGACAAACAACAAGCAGTTTGCAAATTATTGATGCAGTTGTACCAGGGGATGCTAGGGTGAAACTAAAGGAGAAAGAGAATTTTGATAAATATAAAGACCTGGCAAGATAATTGAGAAAACTGAACCTATTGCTATCGGGGCACTTGGGACAATCCCAAAAGGATTAGGTGGCCCTCTTGAAAGCATAGGGGTGAATCTTGATGTGGCTCAGATTCAAAAGACCGTCCTATTAGGAACAGCACGAATCCTCCGACGGGTTATCGACTACTAAGGTTGCAGGATGTAACCTGTTCCAGGAACTGGCTACCAGTTGAACACTGAGAGTATATACATAATAACAGTAATAAAGAAAAACTTTCTAAGTACAAGGATCTCAAAATAGAATTTGAGAAAACGTGGAGACTAAAAGCAACAACTGTCCCAGTGGTCATTGGTGCTCTCGGGCTTGTCAAGAAAGGGACTGAAAACTATATCAGCAAGATCCCAGGAAACATCAGAATAACAGAGCTTCAGAAGATTGTCCTCTTGGGACCGCTCACATACTCAGGAGGTCACCAGCCATTAAATAATCCACGAGACTTATGACTGCCCTAATATAAGTTCATGTAATGAACTTGGCTCCATAAGAGGAAAGAGCATGACTCCAACTCGAGAATTAATAATAATAATAATAATAATAATAATAATAATAATAATAATAATAATAAAATGGACGTCCCAATTGTCAATTCCACGCAAAGTCAAAGCTACGAACACTTACGCGATATCTTCACTACAGTATTACATGTGGACAACAGATTGGCCAATTAACACCTTAAGAGATCTAAAACAGGCAAACTAGGAAGATCATCGATGAATGCCATGGTAAACACAAACATAAATCGACGCAGCTCCTGTTCCAACCATCTGAACAAGGATGTAAAGGGTTTATGGAGATTGAAGCTCTCTACAAACACCCGAAAGATAAAAGCGGCTAACGAAATCAACACCTCCGATGATGTACAAATTGAATTGGTGAAATTTTGTCAGAAGAAAAACGAAGACAGAAATTTGAAATCAGTATTCAAGGATCGGATGCTAAGAGAAATGCGGAGGAACTGCAGTTAATTTGCCAATTTAATGAAGAAACCACAGAGTCATCAGTCACGCCTACCAGGTAGCTGTGACCAGTACTAAAGAGCCCCGAAACATCAAAGAAATCCTAAGAAAAACCACAAAGGAGAAGAGGGCCGACGTCATGGAACAGCCTTGAGTGGGAAAATATGTAAACCATTACTGGAAGGACCCAGAGATTGCACCTACGTCATATCACAAGTTTAAGAGTTGGAAGAACATCCCGGGCATAGTGTTGTCTATTGACACATCTATAAGACAGCAATTGGTTAATACCAAGACCTGCAAGAAAGAAAAGTTGCAAGAGAGTGTTAAAGAAACTAATTATAGAGTATGTTACAATGATCAAGAAACAGTACCTCACATATTGTGTGGTTGCTCCCAAATGGCACAGACACTATACAAGGACAGACTTGATAAAACGCGACGACCACTTTACCACAGTATTAGAAAAAAACGAATTTAGTGAATCTCAGTTCTTTCAGCCGTGGTATAAGCAAAGCCACCCGGTTCCATGTTTGGAGAAAGCGAAAGTGTTGTGGGATATTCCATGGCATCTGGAAAAATTCCCCAGAAACGGAGCAAACAAACCTGATGTGAACGTCTTGGACAAAATGAATAAGGAATGGTTCATAATCGAAGGAACTACTTGCATGCCAAGGACAATACCAGCAAGGACTATGTTTAAAAGGGACGAATACTGATGCAGATTATAAAATTAGGAGTGAAGAGTTTATATCCGGAACACAAAGTTAGCAGTATAGAAGTTGTGTTTCATTTCCTAGCTGCATACCTAGAGAAGGAAGTTGCTAACATTCTGGAAGATAAGAAAGTCGTGAACGTAACTATAGAAAGATCGATGGACGATTTCTCAAAACTGTGAAATAGTAAAAAGGTTCACTTCGCCTTGACAAGCGTTGTTTAGCTTCATTGACTAATTTCTGGGTAGATAAGAATATTCTTGTATCTTAGATTTTGACTGCATGAATATTCATTTTAGCTTCAAATTATTATCATCTATTTTTATTTCCCTATTGTACATTTTATTGGTAGCCTTAGCCTTTGTAGTTTTTTTTTTCAGATTTTTTAAATAGTATAAATGCCTAGGCCGGTATTCAGGACGATATTTTTACAATAAAGTCTTCCATAATAATAACAATAATAATAATAATATTTCAGTTCACTCATTCCACGTTAAGTGGGTAAAATGTGCCAAAGAGTTTCGAAAAATCAAAGGTCAACAAATCAGACAGTAGTGAGTTTAACCGAAAGATGTACTATTGAAGGGTGAGAAACCAAAATTTGGTCAACATATCTTTTATCTACAAAACGTTACAGCCTGTTATTTAATAGCATGTAGTGTGATATTTTGTATGGCTTGAAACAGCACAGTGTTGCATTATATCTATGTTTTTTCAATTTAGCGTACTCTGAAATGTTTAAAATGAAATCCGTGGCAGGCTAAGGTCTGAGTTTTACATTTTAGTCAAGTCAGTGGCTCAAGGAATGAAAAAATCAAGTTGTTCTGCCATGGTGTACTTTGGTCTGACGTAACAAAATATTGAGAATTTAAAACTGCTGTGTTTTTTTTTATGTTTTTTCTTTAAAAAAGCCGTCAGACTAAACATTATTTAGCTAAATGTAAAGGAAAGAAAGTGTTGTTTACCTTTATTATAGTTTGGAAACATGTGATCTAGTAGAAAACGAGTGATTATCAAATAAATTTCGGTAACGGAAGTTACAGAAGGAAGGTAATATTTCATTTCTCTTCCAACTACTCACTTTTGGGATTACAGACCGTCTTAAATAACAATGCATATGACTTATTCTATTGAATTGAATTAATGGTAAACAATTTTGGATGAAATTTTGGAATTTTTGGGTGGAACGAGGCTAAAAACAACAAAGTGAGCCAAATAAATTGAATTAAAAGAAAAAAAATAGATATATGGTAATCTGTCAGAATTCGTACCAAGAATTGTAATACATGAATATTGTAAAGTCCATTCACATAAAAGAGGGTTGAACTAGCGAAAACAGCTTCAGATAATCCACTTCCTGTTGTGTAACCTCCGTTACTTTTAAAAAAATTAAAATGATTAAGATGGCTGTCTCATTTTCCTCTTATATTCCTAAATTGCCTAGAAATATTTCAAAGGAAAATAAACTTCTTTAAACTATGCAAAAAAAAACTCCGCGAATCATAAACACAGCTAAAATTTTCTTATCACAATTGACAGAGAGGTCTCTCACCAATGGAACACGTGTGAGGGTGTACTTATGACGAAATCTTCACCAAATGTCACCAAAGCTTAAGTTGTTTGACGGGGCAATCGTGTGACAGCATTTCCCGAAATTTACCTGACGTTTATCCTATGTTTTAGAGACCGGACAAATTCTTGCTAACGGAAGTTACGGTGACGGAAGTTAAAATTCTACCTTTTCTGTTACATCTTTAAGTGAAATTAATAAATCGGAAAAACCAAACGTACTCCATAATAATCCTCACTAGCTCCTCCGTCACCACAAAAATCAGCACGACCCACTTTTCATTTTTTCCTACTGTAATCTTAGTAACGGAAGTTACAACCTTAACTTTCTGTCCACAGGCTTTTACTCTTTTTTATGTATTGCGTATCAAAAAGAGCAAAGTTAAGTAATATTTACCAGATGTAAATCATTCGCCCTCAGATCGGTAACGGAAGTTTCATAAAAATAGCGGACACCAGTTCACTGTAGTTAAAAGCAACAAAACTGACCTGCAGTGACAAATGATCATGTAGGACTTTAGTTTAAGTCCCTCCCGAGACATTGGATTGATTAGTTTCCATAGTATAAGGCGACAAGCACAAATATACCGTAACCTTCTATACCCATCCTCTCTGAGGACATAGCAAAATTGCATTTTTTGGACACTTTTGGCCTTGACTCCCTCAAAGTTACTGTCTACAGGAGCACAAAGGGGTACTGTCGCTATTTATTTGGGCATATTTTAAGTATTTTTCGGCAAAATGATTATGGGAAAACAATTTGAGTCCTCAAAACTTGCCATGGACACCAAAAAATGGTAATTTACCCACTTAACGTGGAATGAGTGAGTTGTGTTTAACAATTATTCGCCGAAGGCGAAGTTAATATTGTTGATTATTATACATCAGACTCACACTATGAAAAATCTGATTGGTCGAGAGCATTCAATCAATTCACAATAGCTTGTGAACTTGACATGATAAATGCAATATCTGCAGATATTGCATTTATCATGTCAAGTTCAATGTCTGCCTGGTTACCAAGCCCCTTGGAGTGTTCTCCTCAGAAACAGAATGGCTGAATGTCTTCTTTTGCCTATTGTGTAAAAAATGTATAATAAAACAATTATTGAATTCGGTTTTCGCATGAAATCATGAATTATGAAAACCTCGTGTCTGTATTATCTGCCTCAGCCTTCGGCTTCGGTAGATAACACAGACTTCGGTTTTGATAATTCATGATATCATGCTCAACCTCATCCAATAATTGTTTAATAAAATCCCGAGAGGAAGTCGAGGGGATTATTCAACAGTATTAACTGAGCCGGAGGTGAATAATTGTTTTAGTATATACACACGAAGTGATCTAACAGAATCAGAAAGGAAACCATGAAAAAAAAAAAAACCGATTAGTTTGATTCACTGCCGCGGGTGAATTCATGCGTGAACATGTAGCCGTAAACAGCAGATGCACAACAGTTGGATCTTTACAGTATTTTCAAACATGGCAAATCATAGTTTTCATTTTTTTGTAAGCTTTAGCATCAATGATTGAAAAGAAAACGTTGAAAGTTTAAATAACTCCCCTTTCTGAGAAGTAAGATAGAGCTTTATTTGCTTCTGTCAACTCACCGTGAATGAGACAGTTTTTTTGTCTCTTCTTGCAAATGCTGTCAACAGCGGCTATGAGCGAGGTGAGCGTTGTTTTATCTGCAGTGCAGTGTTCCTTGCCATGTTAACTTGCTGGCACGTACAGTTTTCGAAAATATTTGCTTTCCTTTTTTTCTCAATAAATTAACCTCTATTTCCAGGCAAAATTGGTTTTGCGAGGAAATCCCGAGTTCACAAAACAGTGACAAAGCAATCAGATTGCTTGAATAACCAACATCACTGAGTGTGTGTATATTAATTTACAATATTACTAAAATGAAATTAAAAACTGATTAAAATTATTAACAGCGAGAGTCCAAAACTAAAATTATTTGACTACCCATAATTGTATAACAAAAGGAACTAGGATCAACGGGTTGGTATACTGATGTCAAGACAATAACAGACCAATCCGAGCTGAAAAATTACCTCGCTCATGTCACTCCTGATGCCCTGTGATGGAGCAACATGCAACCAGTGAATTGTAAGGACGTGATTTCGTTTTACTTTATCCATTCGCATCACCCATAATACATTTTTTTACCCCCCCCCCCCCAATAAAAAACAAATTTTGCATAAGAATTGTTTTCAATTTCTCCTGATGCACCTTGTTTGCACCTTTTTTCCCACCTAAACCACCTTTATTTTATAAGGGTAATTGGACAGTCCCCGCGAAATAAAATTTGATGCTGTAAACGCCGTTAAGACACTATGCTCCTTGTGTGGCTCGCTACCAGTTTACTTTAGCGCGTATCAACCAGAATTCATCACCTCTTAGGTAAACACTCTATCAGGCGTTGTTTGTTTATCGTTCAGACCTCGGACAGAGATTATATCACTTTTTTGCATTGCTTTACTTACAATTCTGCAGTTTTTCACAGAATAATCTTACAAGACTAATTATATAGCTGTTAGTTAATCCGACATTGTCAGCAAAGCTATTATCCTTTAATTTTTACGAACTGTCCAATTAAGGATTAATTTGGATAGTTTCAGATAGCGCTTTCCTTTACAAATAGGCAAACCGTCCAAATTAAAAAAATAGGACAGCTGGTCTGAGCCAATCAAATGCCAGAAAATACAATAGACAATGTATACTACCCAGTCAGCGCAAAGTCCCTGTGAAAACGCGCCAAAAAAAGTTTTGTTGGCTGACGGCTGTTCTTCGGTGAACACTCTTGGCTTCTTGTTGCTGTGAACGTCGTTTTTTTTTTTTTGCTGCTGTTTTGTTTTGGTTTCTTGTCTGGGCCATTTAAAAGGAAAATGTATGACCAAATTGAAAAAGTTTGTATCGGAAACAATCAACGCATAGATTCTTGAAAATGTACTAGCACTGAAACTTTAGACAAGAATAAGCGGAAATTACTGATACTTGTGTTTAGATGTTGGCATTACAAAAACAAACGGACAAAGTCTGCGGAAATCGTTTGAGGTAATAAATGAAATGTTTATTTTCAATAGTTTTTGTATTTAAATTAAGTATTTGCGTTGTTGCTTTGTCTTTTTTGTACTCGAAATTGCGGTCTTCACCTGTAGAACCATATCATTCAGATCATTGAAGAAGCTTTCAAAATTTTAATTGGCAACAAAATGCAAAGTATGAGAGAGCAATACTAGTTCTACGTTTGTTTATTTGTATAGAAGAAGTTGAATGACACCAGAAGAATAAACCTTTTTTAGATATTGCAGTGTGTTTTTGTTTCTACTACAAACGGTTCGAGTGTGCAATATTTCGCGTCTGTGACACGCTAAAAAATCTGGATTAACTAACTAGCCATATAATTAATAAGTAAGAGGACTACATGCTTGTCCACTTTGGAAATAGTTGAACTCAAAAAATTCCTCTGACAGCCAAATTGGACTCAGCTTGCAGCCTCGTCCAATTTTGGCTGTCCCCGGAATTTTTTTTATCCAATTATGTCCAAATTGGACAGCATGTAGTCCTATTACATACAAATTGCACTCATTCAATATCCAGGACGACCGAAGCACGCGCTTCCTTTGCACAGCAAATTATAAAAAATGACAACAACATAAATCTCTTTTATATAAAGAATTCACTATTAGCGGGACTGTTTAGTCAGGTCAATCTGCCATTATGCAGAAAGAAGTGTAACAATGGGCTTTAAGCAAAAACTTTCGGAACAAAATCTTATTTTACATTTCTGAATTTTGTCAAGCGCCAAACTTGCAATGCGAGCTGTGTCGCCTGTCGAGAATGAACAGTACCCATTAACAGAGTTCAAAATAAAACAACTAGTTATTTGAAAAAATTGAACACACCTACAAGGAATTAAGAGTTCTCGGAATCATTTTCGTTTGCATTCTACTTCTGAAACACCATAATCTTTTAAACTGTTTGATACGCGTGGCATTTTGAGTACTCCTGCATGCGATTCATGTTCGACTGAAAACCGACAAAGTAATAAGAAAGAGATTTTGACAAACATTCAAGACAAAAAATATCATTCAATGAAACATGTAAAAGGACAACAATCTTTATTCACGACGACATGTATAATTTGAGAGCGACGTGTCCCTGAAAATTACGAGTCACGAATAAAACTTTGCAGATTTTTGCTAAAGCTTTAAGCCGGCTTCGTGTTTGCTATTTTTCAAGATAAACTCGAGGCAAGAATATCTTTCAAAGCTTTCTTTATACAACCAATAGGATAACTAAATATTCTTTAGACCGTTTTCTTTCTAGTCGCAGGCAGAAAATGTCTAAAGACTTTTTAAGTTCTGTACTATGTCAGATCATTGTCTCAAATCTTAAAAACGCCTGTGAGCAAAGTGACGGCATAAACAACGCTCGACGTCTTGAAAGGTCGAGAAACCAAAAAAAAAAACAAACAAACAAACATCAGATTTACTTAAGCTTACCAGTCGAGATGCAGCTCCTGAAAGCCCTGCATCAAGTAAGGCCAGAATCGCTTTAAAAGACTTTTAAACCAGCTCACGCATCTAGCAAGGTGAAGTACGAAGAGACGCTTATTTTTGAAAACGATGATTTCCGATTACTTTTTTCGCAAGCGAAGCATTTCTTAACCAAAAACACAATAAACACGCCAGCCAAGAATAACAAAAGATTTTTGATAACAGATGTATTTCATTTGTAGATCCAATGCAAAAAGACGAATAAAACATAATGAGATCAGACGACACAAAACTCTGTCAGCTTGAGCTATCAGTAAACAAGTTTCCAGATGCTACATAATTTTTCCACGTAAACTCATACTCACCTGTCAAATTTTGACCAATCTCAGATAAGAATGGGACGAAGAGAGTGACCAACGCGTGATCATGCTAAACAAAGTCAATTTTTTTTGTGGTAGTAAGGTGCAAGAGACAACTTATTAAATAGAAACTGCCTTCCCTACCTGTAAAAAGGCTGACTTTTCGCGCCTGAAGTCCGGCCGCTGGCTCATAAGCACAACTTATTTCATGTGCTGTATCCGTTAAAAAATAATCTTGAGCCTGTGATCAGTTGACAACCAGAAACTTGCCAGCCGAAGTCTTCACACAACACGTAACCTCAATGGGTCAAAACTTGAGCCCGCGATAAGGTCATTTGATACTGGTCAGCGGATACCCTGTTTTGACAGCTGTCACTTGATTATAACATGAATGTGCAATAGGCCATCCCACACTAGCCTTGCACTAGCTTACTACCAATAGATAGAACCAAATTTTCTTAGCCATGGGGCTACGCTAAAACATACTCCTCCCCCGCAGGGCTGACTCCGGACTCCCTTCTCCCTCTGCCAGAGTCTGTACGGTCAGCGTTCGGTCGTACACTGACGTCATAACCAAATTTTCTCGGATGGATACATTCCCAAATTATCTTAGCTATGGTGCTCCGCTCTCACGCGTAAAGCTTCACTATAATCTCTGATGCTGGAGCTAATTAAAAGAACTTATGACATTTAAGCCAAGACGTAAGAAGAAAAATACTGTTAGAAATATGCATCTGATTCCGTCTATTTTGCTTCTCCTAAAGCCTCATATATGAGACACGCTTCATTAAACTTTATTCACAATGTGACGTTAGGTCTTTAGGGTGTTCTGCGACGTTAACTCTCACGAAATGCGCGGCGTTGCGCTGGATAAATAAACGGATAATCGACGGGATAATTCAATTAACTAAAGGATGGAATAGGACTAGAAATCCGTAGAACACTAGCTTGCCGTCAGGTTTGCGGTTTGAGGTTCACGTTTGTACGGCTAGCCACGCTCCAGAGGCAAGTGATTTACCGCAAGATTTCTTGCAGCCTAAAACACCACAATCCCAAGTTTAAGAAGAAATACGACTTTTTAGAACTCTTTTGCTTATTAACTATCGAATTTTATTTCAAAAACGTAATTTTGAAGACAATTTCTCAGCTAAAATAGAAGTAAGTGGATGAATTAAAACAAACATGGCAGCCGCGAGCTACCACTCACGAATCTCACAGCGGTTACCACTAACACGCGCCCTCAAAGGGTTTTTCTTCGGTTCAAACCTGCGTTTTGGTGGACGTCAATCAACCGGTACCATGGTTTTTCACGCGTTGGCCTAGAGAAGATTCTTTCCCCGTTTCTTGAGCACTCGGAAGAATATGTCAGCGTTTCAGCCGTTTTTGCAATATTTTGCTGCAGGATCTGACACAGCTTCATGTCAAAATTACGAGGAGAAAGAATTTGGTGAGTGTTTCTCGGATGAAACTCAAATTATCGACATATTTACACACTGTAAGTTACAACCACATAAGCTTTCTCAATCGCTCGCAACTCTGGGTTCTTGCTAGTTCTGGTTTCTATTCGATAACATGAAGAGTGATAAGTAGTAAAATTCATTTTCGAAAACAGCCTCCATTCAGAGGGAACGTTTTCCCTTTTGGGTGTGTTATCTGTTGTTTCTTTGAATTTATGCTAGCTTCTTGGCAATTCAGTCGTCCCCGTGTTTTCATACATCAAATAAATAAACAACCTGAAAACCGTTACGTAAACTATGGAGAATGTTTCGGCTATTTCACTCAGCTCGCAGAGACCTCGTTGTTTTAACAATGTAATCCTTCATCTTAATAAAATAATTTTAAAAAGCCGTCGTCGTTCGAAATTATTCGTCCTTCATTCAGCGATGAGGGAACCCTCTCTGTCAGAGCGCGTGGAAAACCATGGAAACAGTTGATTGACGTCCACGAAAACTTAGGTTTAAACAGACAGGAAAAAACCCTTCGAAGGCGCGTGTTAATGATAACCGCTGTAAGTCCAAAATATGGGCAGACGGGTAACGTGAAACCGTTAACCGCAAACCGCAGTTTGACGTTTGCAGTAAAATAAGGTCTCTAATACTAATAACTTGTTCGTAGGGCGAAGCAGAAATCACTTCAACAGAACTGGAACTCTTCAAATATGTCCAATCTTCACACGGTAAATCGGCTCGCAGACAACTCAACATATGGTTCTGTGTCTTGATGAGATTGTGTAGATTGTGTTTACACTAAGTTCGTTAAATGTTTAATTAAACTTAAATGTTTAAGCAGCTTTCTTTTCCAATTTCCTAAAGCAATACCGATCATTAACCTTAACAACGAAGAGTGTTTTCTAAGCAAATCTGAATAAACAACAATTACCAAGCGATTTGCAATTAGCGAAGTATATACTTTATGAAATCTCGATTCTTAAGTGCTAAACTAAAAGCGTTTTTGGTTCGAGTTCGTTTTGAATGTTATAAGCAGATTACGGCTATGACAAGATCACTGTGTGAAACATCTCTAGGATCGTGCCTGTCAGTTAAGAGAGTACCCTCTCCCCTATCGCAGAATCGCCCTAACAAAAGTAAAGCAACTTCAAAACATGAATAAATCGAAAGAGGATATAAATACCTTTTTTCTATGATTTCTGAGGTAATGCAGAAGATCACCGTAAGGGGCATATTCAACTAACAAAAACATGGGTTCCTCCACAGTGCAACAGCCAACCATGCTAACAATATTCTCGTGCGACCCCACCGCCTTCATCAACTGAATTTCGTCAAGAAATTCTTGCCGTACACTTTCATCTGGCATATCTAATGGGAAAAGGGAAAATGATGGATGTCTTTCTCTGGCTCGGTTCTGGTCCGGTTTTATCGGCAAGGGTTTTTGCTCAGACAGTTGAAAGACGCATTCAAAGCCTGGGGAAAGTAATCTCGGGCTTGAGACGAAAAGGCATCATATTGCGAGCTTTGACGTGAGCGGTCTCTGGCATCAAAAAGTAGTTTGTAGGAGTCAAATCTATTGGCCGAGAGCAGAGTTAGTAGACTTTCTATAACAGTGTAAATCTTCCCCTCCTTCTCACAGATAAAGTAAAATGTCTGTAAAATCATTTTTTGCGGTTACTTTTTATTTATCTAATTTGCACCGAATATGTACTGAATAGGCTGCAGTAGATAGACTTTGATGAGTTTCTCACAGGCTATTAACCTACCTCCCCCCCCCCCCCACAAAAAAAATGTTTCTCAAAACTTCCCCTAATTCTCTCTGTGTCAATTTGAAATCAGCGCGCATATTATACTAAACTCGGCTCTCGTAGTGGGTTGTCTTGGAGTTTTTTTGGCTGCCTTGAGCAAAGGTTTCCGGAAGGCATCATTAAGCCTTATGAAGGAACAATTCTCACAACGAGCATAGGGAACCCACGCTCTTATTTGCAAATTGCAAATAGCAATTAAATAAGAGATAAAATCTTACCTGTTTTGTTTTATTCTTGAATCTGCAGTGGTGCGAAGTGAAATGGAAGTTGTTTTACGATGCGAAAACTATGTTCAAGTCGACGCTCTAATCGTTGTTGACAAAGTACAGGCTGAAAGTAGGTTTTAGGGGTGAAATCTATTCGGCGAGATGAAAATTTATGCCGATTTCTGACCAGGCCAAAGACGTAGTTAAGAATTGTTATACGGTATGTCTCCTTTTCAACCGCTGGTTTACATCCGTGATCTTGAATAAGTCGACTGTGTGAGTGGAGAAGAGTTTCCATGCGCCGATGTATGTGGAGAAAGCGAGGATTTTTCGGAGTAATTTGACGATGTTTCGCCCGTTTTAAATGTGGAAATATTATGAGTGGTTTTCGGAACTGTTTTGAGCTATGCCGGCCTGATGGTTGCACTGACCAAAAGGTTATCATTTCTGGACGTTTCAAATGTTGTTTATTTCATCGCAAGATCCTGTTACCTTCTGCCACGGGCGGCCCAAGCTCACTACTATTTTGGTGTGGAACACCAAAATAGCGCTAACTCGCCGAAAACGCTTCAAAACGGCCTGAGACGCCGGTAAACAACAATAAGGTATGTCGATTTTATTTAAAAACATAACATTTTTTCTCACTTTTAACAAAAACCGTTAACATCCCATACAATCCTTTGTAAATAGCCGTTTGCAACACACCGCTCGCAAGCAAGAGTCACGTTCGTTCTTGTAGTGAGCTTGGGCCGCCTGTGCTTCCGCGAGAGGACTTTTGCTAGCAATAAAGTTGCCATTGTAAAGCCTTAGTTAGGGACTTTTATCCACCTTCTATTCGGTCCAGATGTCAAATTGTTAAAATGCTCTTTAGCCACGTTTTAACAAATCCAGTCAGATTTATTAATAAACATGTCTTACACAAATCTAATTGATTCCTGACCCTGTCTAGAGTAAATTGCCACCAAGGACCTAAAAATGGCCGTCAGCTCATCATTAGTTCAGGCCTTTCAGAAATACCTTTGGCTTACACTGGACTTTTAAGCCGTAAAAAGGATTTTTGCTGTTTGTAGTCAGTACCATTGCTTTACATCTATAATGACTTGGGTCACATTCTTGAGTGTGGCTTCAATTTGACCTCTAAAAAATTTACTTTCTTATTCGAAAGAGCTTGTGTAGCACTTTACCGTAGAACATATGCCTCAGTGAAAGACATTTAAGCGATCTATGACGAAAGTAGTTGCTCCTTCTGATTACAAATGAATTAATTATATATATAATGAAATAATCTTGAATGTCAAAGAGGTCTACTCCAAACTTTTTCACATGTCTTACTGTTTATTTACCGCACAAACGTGTCGCACTTCGCGCTTCTTCAGTGTACAAAATAGTAAAAAACGAAAACCTGGTTAAACCTGTTTTGTACACTGAAGAAACCCGAACGGCAAAACGTTTGTGCGGTAAATAAACAGCAAGACATATGAGAAACTGAAGTAGACCTCTAAGTGACATTCAAGAGTAGTATTTAAAGTTTAGTTCGAAACATCTTGAATCCTCTTGGATCCTTACTCACAAGTAGCATCCTTCGTTGGTGAACTTGATATTTTTCATCCACTTTATGTTATATATTTTAATACCAGGAATAATTGTTACTCACTATGAAGCATTTTTACTGCAACCACGTATGTTTCACTTCCACTGATAGTTTTCGAAGTTTTCTTCCACGGCTTCAAACAGAACCTCTGGTGTAAAGAGCTGGTTGGTTTAACTAGAGTTCCCTTGTACACCTTACCAAAGGCTCCCTCTCCAATTTCATCTTCAAGGGTCACAAGGTCTCCATCTACTTCCCAATTATCAATTATCAACCTATTTTTCCTATGAAAAAAAAGACGAGGTAAGAATTTACTGTTGCAAATTTATGCAAAAGTTATAAAGGTTACGAATCGTGACCAAGTATATATAGAAAAATAATTTTAAATCAGAAGATTAATTATAACCTATTTTAAATATCCCCGTTTAAACTGGCATACAAGCCCCCTTAATCAATTTTGAATTTTTGGCTCATACAAAACAAAATTAGGAATGATTCTCAAGAGGTCTATCGCCCAATTTTTGAGCTCGTTCTTGGTAAGACTGGCTTAGAAGCAATTTTTTGTTCGCATTACCCAAAGCAGCAGTGTTTTAAAAACTTGAATTTCTTAATTTTATTGTCCTTCAATTTTCTAGGAAACATTTCCGCACGTCTAATCTTAGATTATGAAGACATGTAGTATTCTTTACCCTGGAATAAGGCTTTTTTTCTTTAACATCTTCTGTTTTCTCCAGCGACGCCAGATAAAGATCATACAAATAAAGGTCACGAGCAGAAAACCAATCACAAGTCCAGCAATTAAACCAGAAGTATAAAAACCCGTGCTAAGTGCCTCGTCTGCCTCTGGTAATAAAATAACATAGAGTATCAGCAACTAGGGAGTTTTAGATACCACGACGTCATATTTCCCTTTTGTAGACATGCGATGTGATTGATAAAGGTCGATTAATATTCCATCGTTGGTCCGGCTACGCCAAGCTACAATAAAGATACATAATAGTAGTCTTACAAAGCACCAAGCCAAATGCCAAAGCTGAGCTTACGTTAAAATTTCAAGAGAGGGCTAAGGTGTCATGTAATAGATGGATCAATTATGAAGGGCATTTAATTATAGTAGGCGCAGACATTTTTCGGAATTCAAGCAGCTGGTTTTGGTAATGGAGAGAGATAACCATACGAAATCCCGAGGTTTGATCCTGGTGAATTTCCTTGTTTGTAGTCAAGACATTTCAAAAACAGTACAAATAAAGTTTTTAGGACCGGGGTAAACCCCACATTTCATATGAGCCTAACTTTCTCTACATTTACAGTTTGAGTCGACTTAAGGTGTTAATTTCGGCTGTTGGGCTCAAACGCGACTAAACCTAATTTAGCCGAAATTAAAAAAATAAAATAAAATAACACAAAATTATATAAAAACGTAGAACCAGGTTTTCCTCTTTGCTGGCTTTGCAATACAAATTGATTGAGTTCGGCCTATGCAGGGCGTTTGACCCAAGCCTAAGTCGGCTAAACATACAGCATCGCTTGTTTCCAAAAATAAAAGTAAATGTACGTTTTATTTATTTATTTTTCCTCTCAACTTTAATGAATTATTCCAACTCCTCTGGCATATATGGGGATGATAATATAAGCACGGACAGAGAGACAAAGATTGTCGCCTTTTCTACGTCGAATTAGAAAATTTGACGGTGTCGTGATCAAGCAGTAACAGCGAATGAATATACGTACAAGGTGTCAGGCGTTACTAACGTTTTGCTTTTTTAACTTTCTAGCTGCCGTAAAATTTCGTTTCCTTCCGCTGGACAAGGGAAACGCGACATCTGAGACTGGGAACAGCGGCCACCGCCGTGAAATAGCTCAAAGAGTATCAAAAAGGAGCTGTCAAGAGCTTGTTTGGTAATTTTTAACCCACATCCTACCAACCTATTTTGCATACAAATCATGCCAACTAAGGTCAAAACGGAGCCCATAACAAAACTAATGCTTATTAAGCGTTAAGTTCCATTACCGTATCTCGTTGCTAGTTTACCCGGTTACTATGCCAGTGGAAATTTACTTCCGGTTTTCGTATTTCGCACGTTTTTGGACTGCTGGAAAGGTAAAATTATGAACAGCATTGATCGTATTTATAGCGAAAAGTCTTGTCCATAGTGTGTTTTGACCAGGAAAACTCGTGATGACCTTATCTTCTCATGCTGTTTGCTGAAGCACTGTCTGCGAAAGCTAACCACCTTGAGCTTTATAAGTTTATAGTTTTTGGTGAAGTTGAAAGCTTTTCTTCTTTAATTTCAACAAAATAATAACTGTTGTCGAGGTCGAAGAAGGTGACATTTTTTGTTGATTGATTTATCAGGCTCGCGAGTTTACACATAGGTTTTACTGCAAATGTTATTTTCATTCCTTGCACGAAGGCTCTTCGAGACTGACATCTTTTGAGTGACAAACTAATCTATTTTGTGGGGGAATTGTGAATATGTTTTCGTTTGTTTTTCATTCAGAAAATGAGGTTTTGATTGAACATGAAAAAGAGTAGATTAATACATGAGGACAAATTGCATAAATCTCAACACGTTGTCCAACCATGTGAGCCATGGTAAATGTGGATAATCACCTGGGGTCTCATTGGACCCCACTTGGTAGGATGAGGGCTTAATTGAGAGCAAGAAACAGGCCTAATAGACCATTATCAACAAAAAACAACTTAAGATATGTATCACATAATTTAAATCCAAGCTTTGGTTTTCGGGGAAAATGATCCTTTTGAGACTCATCATCAGACTATCAAAATTTATCATTTAAAACAAAAGAAGAAAGTAACTGGAAGAAATCTTTTCCAATTGGTTTCATTATCTATTATGAAAATAGTCTTTGAGGGCTTTCCTTACAGCGATCTATAGTCGCCTTATATTTACTCAATGTCACACCAAAGGCCAGGAACAACAACAAATATCCGACTAATAAGGAAACAGGCCTAGTTCGCAGTTATCAACGATCCTCTGTCTCAATATTCTTCGTGCATTTTCCAGTGTTGAGCTTTGTCAGCAAGCTCATGTACCGCTCAAATTTGTATGGAACTGTTACAGTTAGAAGTCGTCGCTGGCTTGTGGTTTACCAAGACAAGCTCGACAATATCACTCCAACCTTATGGAATGCCATTGATAATGACTTTGACAGTGACAATGACCAATGAAACTGTTTTCCAGCAAGGAAAGACGTTTGAAACTCTCAGTATTCCGCTAAAGCCGATTGGAGACTGCTAACCAGACGGCCAAAATTCACTGAAGACCTAAGTCTCGCTGAGGATGAAACAAGATCACAATCTTAAAGATTCTGATCGACTTTATCATTCCTTTTTTTCATGGTTGGAGGACAGTTACCTACAATATATACGCCACAAATTTCTTACTTGGTTCTGTTCTAACAATTGAAATCTTAGCAGCAACTCCCGTTACGACGGACGCGTCGAAAACAGGAATGACCTGATAAGAAAGAAGACGGCATTCCACGGTCAGGATTTTGACTACAGCCACTCTAATAATAACACTCTAATCACATTTGCAATACTTAATAGCAAACTAACTCACAAACTAATTAACTAGATGGATAAACCAAAAAATAAAGAAACTGACAATTGTTTTTCATGCGTTTAACAACAAGAACAAATAAAAAGTCAGTAAATGCCCACTAGCACTGGATAAACCAAAGCACATTAAGGGACCACTCTCTTAACGAGAAATCGGATATTGGTGCCCATGCATTCTGATTTTGATGCCCGCGTGCTCTGAAGCGTTTAGTAAGTCATTTGTACGGGCAGCATCCAAGTTTGGGAGAGAAGGGTTTTTTGGTTAGATACTGGAATAAGGGCCTTTTAAATGGAACCCTCTCCTAAACAGGTGCTTATTAAAGTAATAATCGCCTCTTCCCAATAGCCAAACCCCTAGAGTTACCAGACTACCTGTCTGAGGGGGATCCAAATTATTCAGAATTAAGATCAATGAAGCGTGACCTGAGTTTAGAGCGGACTACAAATGACAGCAAAAATGTACATGGGCAACGTGTTTGAGATAGGTTAGATGCCCAGTTTTGTTAGTTCTCATCTCAGGAATTGCCTTTTAATAATTTCTCACTGGTAAAGCAACAACAACAACAACAATTTGTACCCAACAGAGAAGATTATACTATTAATAACAATGTAAAATTTCGGCCCTAACGATATTAAACAAAATTTGTTGGTAATGCAGAGTTGCAAAGGCTCAAACTTAGTAGGCCACCCTTCATCTACTCGCCTGAAATTCGACCGTCTCGTTTTGGTAAATTCCATCTATATTGACACTGGTTTCTGTCTGTAAAGAATATACAAACAAACAAATTAACACATTGGAACGAAAAATGCTGTAAAAACCCGTTTTTATTTTGCTTCCTTTATGTAATAGGTCACAATTAACTTCAGGGAAACATTTTTTACCTAGGTAAATATCTATGTATATTTTTAAATTTCCTTTGTCTCCTAGCCCTAATTATGAGCGGATAATGCCTCATCGCCCAACCCTTCCCCCCCTCCCCCCATCGATCTGCATAATTCTTCATACCATGTAGAGCCGGATCTAATAATTATTTTATTCCATTTCCAGTTTCAACAAAACATGCTTACCTCGACCCTTTTGTAAAGTTTCAGTCTTCAAAATATTTGTCTGTTCCTTGGCAGTTTTAACTTATGAATAGATGTTTATTCTAGTAGACATTCTTCGTCCGTTCATCGGCACTTTTGCTATCATTACTATCTTTTTAGCCAGTAGTAGGGCTATTTTCTCTTCGCAAACGAGTGAGTTAAATCTTCCAGAATTTTTGACGCTCTGCCAACACAGCTGAACTACCGCGCGTTCTGCCTTCCCCTTTTCTCTCGATTTCTATACAACTGCTGTCGGCAAACGTCTTCCAGATTTGGTCAACGCAACCTGGTTACGAAGAATTTGCTACGCAAATTAGTCCAATTATAAACGCAGTAATGAATGAGTGAATAATAACATGAATGATCATTGTTTTTAGCGACCCGATGACAGTTGTCCCAGTGTAAAGACTCTGTAAATTGCACGTTGCGCTTTATGCGACGAACGACCGCGAGAATCGTGCGAAAAAACAGCGGATTGTAAGGTTTAAACGTTTTTACTATTTTTCCATATGCTCATTTTTACCTATTAATGTGCGTTTTGGATGTGTCGGTCTTACTCGGAACGTCAAAGCCGGCGTCAGTTGACCCCAAAAGGTCAAATATCTGCATTTTCAAGGATTTTGAAGAGCTCTCGCGTGGTTCGTAATGATTTGCCCAATTTTTTTTTTTTTACAGTAGTCTGTAGATCGTCCTTCTAACATTCAACTAGCAGAAGCTTAGGCGATTTGAATATTTCGCACATTGTGAATTTTTTTTTCACACCTAACTTTTGTTGAAGTAGACTGTATGCCTTCGAAATTGAATTATTCTGTATACAAATAACAACGAACTGTTTTCCAAAATCATTTTCACAAATATTTAGAAGTTTTAAAAGATGACTGTAACAATATTTTAAATTCGGTTAAATGATTTGTTTTAATTTGCACGCGAGGCTCTAAAACCCGTGTAATAGTTTAGCGCCTCAAATGGCAATTTGAACGGATTTTGGTCACTTCCATTTACCTCTGAAATAAAAACATATTTCACCGAAAAAAAAAACATACAATTATTTTAGCTATACCCTAGCCTATCTAACATTAAAATGAAATAAAATCGAATTTTCAACCTTTGCCGCGATATGTTTGATTTTTACGGACAGG